GGTATAATTGTGTCGTCACTCACCAGCCTTCAGTGTGGTGAGGTTGGGGTAAGGTTTGTGAGAAAACCTTGAACAGGAAAGGATTGGTTTCCTCTGTTGCTTTATTGTGTGCCTGTTACCTGGTGCAGGGCTGCAGTAAGGAGTAAACCTGTAGGCAGGTGAGCTTTAAGGTCCCTGTCATCCCCAGCCTGTTTGGGGCTCTGTGAATTGGTGTGATGGGGTAGTTGTCAGAGTGACACAGGACAGAACATACCAGAACTGCCAGAGTGCCTCATTCACGCTCTGGTTTTCACACAACGCTCCTGAACCAGTCCCAAACAAATCTGTCCGGCCTGTGGGCTTTGCTACCACTCTCTGCTGGCTGGGGCTCAGCTCTGATAAAAATAAAATTGAATGTACACTGCGTGCACTCTGGGGGAGGATCCTGTGAGTGCCAACGGAAACACTGTCTGTTCGGATGTGAAGAAATACTGCATTTGCTACTAAGGAGTGAAAATAGAATTCTCCCGAATTACACAAAAATAAGAAATTATAAACCAAATGGCATCACTGTTGGGCTTAACGTGGTGTGGGATAGACTTACTCAAACTGTCTTTGCACACTAAATGTCCTCAGCAGTGTGGCTTCCAGGATTGAGGGGTTTCTTAGAGGGTTCAGTGTTAATTTGGTGAAAGCACTCAGGCCAGTGTTTTGGGAAAAGCTTGGTTGACTACCCTTAGTAAAAATGAAAGTATCTCTTCATTGTCACCATATTACAGCAGGTGAAAGCCACAAATGAGGGAGGGCTGATTGTTTCAGTTTTCCTTGCTATTTTCAAGAGGCACTACACAAGGAGTGTACTGCAGAGAGCTGAGCATGTTCCATCAGCTGGCTCAGGGAGGCTTCTCCCAGTGTGCTGAGCTGTGGCTGCCTTCTGTCAGGGTGCAGCAGGTGACAGCTGGCACCATGCAAGGAACAAGCGCTCAAACCCAGCCCTGGAGCAGCAGAGTCCTCTCCAGGCGGGGTACTGGTGAACATCTCTTCTTGGGGAATGCCACGGTTACCATTTCACTGTGTTGCCTACACTTAGGGGATCTTCAGGGGCATACTCACCTGTGGAGAAGGATGCCAAATTAATTTGGCTTAGCCCCTCTGTTGTTAGAAAATAACTTTTTGGCTGAGGTATTTGGCAAACCCCAGGGGATCACTGAGGGGTCACTGGTAGTAGCAAGGGGGGATCACTGTGCTGTTTGGCTTTGGAGCCCCAGTGGCTGCTGTGCAGGACAAGGATGGCTGTGGTGGGTAATCCAGCACCTCCCTGGGAGCTGGGGTTCCCTTGCCTTTGATCACACCCCCAGGTTTCTTGGAGTGGAATCATGGAACAAGCGCCCTGGGAAGGTGCAGCGGTGCTCGTGTCAAGAGAGCTTTACAGGTCTGGGCTGGAGGAGATAAAGCTTGGGGGTGCTTTTCTCTGGTGTTGGGGGATCTCTGTGTCTGGGGAGAACGGCAGCTGATTGCAAGGTCACAAAGGTTGAGATGCAAAACCTTGGCTTTGCTGTATCCTTCCCTTTCTCTCTAGAGTGTCAAAGATCATCACTGTAGTCTGGAGCTCCCTCCCAAGGAGCAGCTCCCATCTCTGCTCTCTGTGACCAGGGACAGGACCTGAGGGAAGGGCTGGAGCTGTGTCAGGAGGGTTTAGGCTGGAGATCAGGAAAAGGTGCTTTCCCTTTGGATGAAGAGTGCTGGGCACTGCCCAGGCTCCCCAGGGAATGGGCACAGCCCCGAGGCTGCCAGAGCTCCAGGGGTGTTTGGACACTGCTCCCAGGGACAGGGATTGTTGGGGTGCCTGTGCCTCCCTCCGAGTCCAGGATATTCTGATTCTCTGTTCAAGTGCAGGATTTTAATGTCATTATCTAGGGGAGAATACACATGCCAGTTGGTAGTCCTTAAAAAAAAAAAAAAAGGCAAAACCCAGCTGTTCCTGAGTATAGAGCCACTATCCTGTGACCCCATCTCCCTAAACTGCGCTGCTGTTCTCCACAGATGATAAATTCCCAAGGTGGGAAGTCACTCTTTACTCCTTTCAAACCCAGACCTCTCCAGATCTCTGCTGTTCATGCCGTGAAATACTCAAGGACTCCACACTGTAGGTCACATCAATCTGAAGCCAGTGTGGTTTTCTAGCCGTGTAGTTAATCAGGAACTGGTTATTTCCCAGTCCTCTGCCTGCAAATGACATTCCATGGGCACTCAGTTGCTTTTGGACAGCTGAGGAGTGAGTAATAGCACAGGGGTTCTTGCGTCAGAATAATGATGAGGGGAAAATGGATGAGAGGTTCAGAGAAAGGAGGAAAATGTTGTTTTGAGCACAGTGGTCCAAATCCTGGCATGTGCTGAGAGTGTCCTGAGCTCACTCTGACTTCATGAGCGTTGGGAGGCTCAACAAAACGCCGAGCAGCCTTTGGGTTTGGGGCTTGCTAAACAATTGTTACTTGGAAGTTTGGTTTTATAGAAGCTACCCATTTCTACATTATTTATTCTGCTGATTGGCTTCTCCGGATTGCTTTTGCTCTGGACAAATAAGTGACAAATCTGGGAAGAGGCAAACTCGCCAAATTTAAACAGTCAGGGCTCCATAGACCAAAGCTAATATTGGCTGAAGCGGGGTCGTGCTGAATGTGATGAATCCCCACACCAGGGCACCACAGGAGGGTGGGGTTTGTGTGGGTGCCACCCGGGGCACTGCTGGCAGGAGCAGATGGGGGGGTCTGAACGCCCCTGGCCCCGGGGTCCTGCTGCAGGGAGGGAGCAGATCCCCTTGTGCCGATGGCACGGCAGGGTGTGGGTTCTGGGGACCCTGCCTGAGGGGTGCTGCTGCGTGGCCCGGGACAGCCGAGTCCTGCGGTGCCCTGGGTTGGGCTGGCTCCAGTTCAGCCCCAGGGAAAGGGGATGTTTCCAGAGCAATGAGCTCCTGAGAGCCCCTGGCCACAGGCTAGGGGAGCGTTTCCTGCATCACAGAATCACTGAAGCATTTATGTTGGAAATGCCCTCCGAGAGCATCAAGTCTGAGCTGTGACCTCACCTCATCAACCAGCCCAGAGCACCGAGTGCCACATCCAGTCCTTCCTCGAGCACTGGGCTCCTCTGGAATCCCTGTTGTTATGTGGAAGCAGCTGCTGTACCGCAGCTTGTCGCTGTCCTTTGTCCCTTTTTCACCCAGTGCTCCCTCTGCACATGAGCTGTACCTTCTCTCAACCCTGCCTGGAACTGGGCAGCTTTGAGGTGAACCTCATAAGGTCATTTATCCCTCCCTGCTACGGCAGCGGGGTCCGTGCATTTACTGAGAGCTTTGCCTGCCAGCTCTGACCGATGGTTGTTCCCTCTCGTGCGTCTCGTGTGATGGAGCATCCCCAACTTTTCCTGACATCTTGCTCAGTTGTTTTGCTGTTCTTCCGTTGTTGCAGCTGATTCTGGGCATTGTTTGCTGAGTGGAATTGGAGTTACTGTTTGTTTCTTCATCGGTGCTTTATCATGCTGCTGTTTCTGTACACTTTGTGTAACTTTTTTTCTCATAGCTGAAGACGGATGGCACTGCACAGCCTGGGCTGGGTTGGAATGAGGGTTTTGGGGAGGGGAGGTGGTGCTTGCGAGGCCATTGATCCCATCTTTATAACTTTGCCCTTTTAGCTGGGAACAGATGATTTGCACGGGGGTTGGAGATTTGCGCAGGCAGAATCCGAAGGACCAAACTTTACATAAACCATTTATACTAAATGCTGGGAACGCTGGCAACATAAATCACCTACAGTATCTATTACAAATTTATCACTTTATCAGTATGGTCTGCGATAGGAGTGGTTCAAGCAGGTGGGGAAGTGAACCTCAGGAAGTTTAGCCTGCTTGGAAATTAATTATTCAGGACACACAGAGCCTGGCCCCTTCAATGTATAGTAATTCTTTCCAGCCAGCATCCAGGCCTCCAACTTCAGTGCAATAATAAATAGGAGAAGTCTCAGGTGAAGCCAGTATTTCAGAGTAATTAATCATGTTCCCCTCACAGTCCCTCCACCTCTCTCTTGGTTTTCTTTAACGAGGGAATTTCAGTAATAAATCTTTAATGATATGTGTTAAGAATCCTTCATTAATTCTTGTCCACTTATTCTCTTTTTTGGTTGCTTTTATGTTGCATGTTGGGAAGTTCAAAGGAATATACCAAAAAAACCCCCGTTAAATGTAGCAGAGTCTCTAAAAGGATGTTTTGGATGTCGAGTGTCATGTGTTCACTTGGTAATCGGACTTGTTGGTTAATACCAGTTGTATTGTCAAAATCCTGGCTATGGGTACCGAGTTAGGGCAGGATGGTAAAGGAAAGGGAAGGCTGGTTAGTGTGCTGCTCAGTGCAGCGGTGCAGACCCTCAGCGAGAGGCTCGGGGTGTGTGGGGCAGGCCCAGCCCATGGGTCAGGCACAGCCCGTGGGTCAGGCCCAGCCCGTGGGGCAGGCCCAGACCGTGAGTCATGCACAGTCTGTGGGTCAGGCCCAGCCCGCGGGGCAGGCCCAGCCCGTAGGGCAGGCCCAGCCTGTGGGTCAGGCCCAGCCCGTGGGACAGGCATGGGGCAGGCCCAGCCCATGTGGGTCAGGCCCAGCCCGTGGGACAGGCCCAGCCCATGTGGGTCAGGCCCAGCCCGTGGGTCAGTCCCAGCCCGTGGGTCAGTCCCAGCCCGTGGGGCAGCCACAGCCCGTGGGGCAGGCCCAGCCCGTGGGACAGGCATGGGGCAGGCCCAGCCCGTGTGGGACAGACCCAGCCCGTGTGGGTCAGGCCCAGCCCGTGGGACAGGCCCAGCCCGCGGGGCGCGCTAGACGCGGTGGTGCCCGCACGGCCCGGCGCGGCGCTGCGCGCAGAGCCCGGCAGCGAGCGGCCGTCAGCGGTACGCGATGTGACAGGGACAGCTGTGACAGATCCGTGCTGACACGCTGCCGTGGCGCCGGCCGTGCTGCGGGTGACGGCTGTCCTTCCCTGCAGGACAGCACAACGACGCGCGCATGAACCTGGCCATCGCCCTGACCGCCGCCCGCTACGGCGCTGCCACCGCCAATTACACCGAGGTGCGGCACCTGCTCAAGAGCACGGACACGGGCCGCGTCTGCGGGGTGCGCTGCAGGGACGTGCTCACCGGTGAGTGGGGTGTCTGGGGTCTGTGGGGTGTGCTGCAGGGACGTGCTCACAGGTGAGTGGGGTGTCTGGGGTCTGTGGGGTGTGCTGCAGGGACGTGCTCACAAGGAGTCTGCAGTTTAGGGGGTGTGTGTGGGGTCTTCAGGTTCCACTGCAGGGATGTGCTCACAGGTGAGTGGGATCTTCAGGTCCCACTGCAGGGATGTGCTCACAGGTGAGTGGGATCTTCAGGTCCCACTGCAGGGATGTGCTCACAGGTGAGTGGGATCTTCAGGTCCCACTGCAGGGATGTGCTCACAGGTGAGTGGGATCTTCAGGTCCCACTGCAGGGATGTGCTCACAGGTGAGTGGGGTGTGCAGGGTGCGCTGCAGGGATGTGCTCACAGATGAGTGGGGTGTGCAGGATCCCACTGCAGGGACGTGCTCACAGGGGAGTGGGGTGGGCAGGGTCCCACTACAGGGATGGGCTCACAGGGGAGTGGGGTGGGCAGGGTCCCACTACAGGGATGGGCTCACAGGGGAGTGGGGTGGGCAGGGTCCCACTACAGGGATGGGCTCACAGGGGAGTGGGGTGGGCAGGGTCCCACTACAGGGATGGGCTCACAGGGGAGTGGGGTGGGCAGGGTCCCACTACAGGGATGGGCTCACAGGGGAGTGGGGTGGGCAGGGTCCCACTACAGGGATGGGCTCACAGGGGAGTGGGGTGGGCAGGGTCCCACTACAGGGATGGGCTCACAGGGGAGTGGGGTGGGCAGGGTCCCACTACAGGGATGGGCTCACAGGTGAGTGGGGTGTGCAGGGTGCACTGCGGGGGACAGTGACACAGGAGGGAGGAGCAGGGCCACTGCTGTCTGCAAACAGCCCTAAACCAGCAGAGGAGGCATCTTTCTGGGCCATGCCATTAGTGTCACTCAGCTTCCACTTGTGTCACATTTCTCACTCAAACCCCAGTGTTTTGGCAGGCTTGGACTGAGCTTTGTATCCCAGCCTTTCTGTCAAGCAAAGATGACATTGTAAAAGGCTCCGTGCTGTACAGTAGTAATCCCATTTACCGAGTCTGCGGGCTGAGACTGAAATCTCTCTTCTTGAGAGGCAGATTTCAGCTGAGCAACTTCCACCCCACCTGCCTCTCTTCTGCCCTTACAGATAAGCTGGGATTCCACTCTAAAACATTTCTCTCCAATCTGGTGCTGGGTGAACACTTAGTTAAGTGTGTCCCAGCTGTTGTGTTCAGACACACAGGGTACACTTTACAGCAGGTTGAGTTCACAGCGAGATGAATAACAAAGAGCATCAGCGAGCAGGAAACAAACGCTGTCTGTGATTGATACTGTTTTCTTTCACAGGGAAGGAGTTCGATGTCAGAGCCAAGTGTGTTATCAATGCCACGGGACCTTTCACAGACTCAGTCCGCAAAATGGATGATCAGGAGGTGCCCAACATCTGTCAGCCCAGCGCAGGCGTGCATATCGTGATGCCTGGTTATTACAGGTGAGGCACGGGGAGCCTGCTGCCCTGTGACACCATTTGTGGGCTCTGCTGCTGCTGAATCAATCAGCTGGCTCTGCGGCGCACGGCTTGAGTCTGATTTTTGTTTGTGTTTTCCAAAGAGGATCCTGGCGCTGTGCCGCTGAGGAGAACAATTTCATCTATTCAGAGCAGACTGAAGCCGTGTGGTTGTTAGTTAGAGCTCCCCAAGGCAGGGCTCCTGCTGAAGCAGAAGGCGTTCAGGCAGCACATCCCCAGGTGTGAAAGCACCTCTTTCAGTGATGCCTTTGAGCTGAGTGTGCTACTGCTTGGTCACCCCCTCAGGGAAACAAGGAGCATGTAAAACCTTCCAGAGAGGTTGCACCTTCTTACAGAATCTCTTGTCCTGTTAAATCATAGTGTCTGGGTTGGAAGGGACTTTAAAGATCATCTTGTTCCACTGCCTGCCTTCACGTATGAAACTCCTTGTGCAGTGATTCTGCTGGGATGTGGCTCTGCTCAGAGAAAACAGGAGTGCAGAAGCACAGGATAAGTGATAGGATGGGCAGGGTAATCAGTAATAATAATTGCTGTCACAGGCAGTAGAAGTAGCTCAGGGTAGCACAACCAGATTTGCCGTGGCCCCAAGCTCACCTGTGGGGGTTTTGGTGGCCAGGACGTGCCCTCCGTGTTCCAGGAGAGGTTCCCGTGGCACTCTGCTCCCTGCAGTCTCCTGCTCCTCTCCCTGTTTGCTGTGCAAAGCCAAATCCCCTTCTCCCAGCCAGCCTTGTCAGTCGGAACTCAAATATTACCTTTGGTTCCTGAAGTCATTAGCATCCTAATGGAAATTCCCCTTTATGGACTTAGCCCAGTTGTGTTGATACGGTGCCCTTGCAGTAATGCCTTCCACAGCCCCTCTCAGAATGGGAATTCAGCCTTCAGTGCACCAGGGGGTGCTTCTGCCAGAGCTGTCCCAACAGGACACCACCACACACTGTAAAATTGAGGCATTTTTGGCCTGGTATAAAATCACCCCTGCATTCTCTTCTGGGTTTTTTGGTTTTTTTTCATTTTTGTATCTTTCTCCATGAAAAATGGTAAAATGACCTGATAGCTGCTTTAAAGTACTAAAAATGTGGAGAAATGGGCTGTAATCCCAGTTTCCTCATATGCCAGGGGAAGGATGTGTGTGATTAGCTTTATGGCCCTACACAAAAACATGGGAAGCTTTAGAGCCTGGACTCACTTGGTAAATTCAAAGTAGAAGATGGCTGGATATGCTTGAGAGCTCTGATTTATTTATTCTGTAATAACCCAATAATTTTAATTGGAAACGTGGAGAAGTCTTGTTCTCCGTGTTCCCCGGTGTATGTCAGCATGTGGGCATTACTTTCCTTGGAAAATAGTATCTGCCCACACACTGCCTCCACAGCACAGCTGATAAGATAACACTGCACTGAATTTCCTTGGAGTGGGATAGCTGGAAGCAGGGAACTGTCTGCTAAATAGAAAACACTCGTGGGATTTAATCTTGGTTGTATCAGGCCTTCCTTCTCGTGGTGCCAAGGAACACTGCTCAGCACAGGAAGGTTGGCATTTCACAGTGTCCACATGTGCCCTGTGAATGTGTTACAGGATTTTGGCCCACAGTCACACTAATGATTTTTTTTTTTTTAACATCTAGAGGGTTTTAGTTATAAGTATAGTCAAGATTTTGTAAAACTAATGTTAACCTAATGCACTCACTCCCCATGGGTTTCTTACTCATTGATGTCCTTCATTAATAGTCCCAGAATTCCTCCCCTCATTAATTAGGCTTCCTGCCTGGAATGTGTCTGTGAAGGCAAGGCTTTTTCCTCTCCCTCCTGACCAATTTCAGATGTTTCTGTCTTTCTGGAATTTTCCTCTCTGCTCTGCATTCCACATTCCAGGTAAACTTGCCTGTTGCACCTTCCTTCTTCTCTATGGAAAGTCACTTTTTATTATTTAACTGCGTTTGTGGTGCTTTGGTCAAATGCTTCTTCAGCTGGAGATCTTCCATGGATCCAAGACCTTCCACAGATCTCCCGGACCTTTTGCCTCTACATTTCTCTGTAAAGGCATTGCTTTATGCTTCATGTTGGAGTTTCCAATCCTCAATTTGCCCATTTTAGCCATCTTTAAAGAGAAATCTCACCACAGCTACATGGCTCTTACCTCCTTCTCCCATCCATGGTGGAGTCCTAGGAATTCCTGCCTCATAAAATCGTGTTGTTTTAGAGGTGTTCCTGGTGTGCAGCAGCATGACTCCTGAGGCCTCAGGAAGGCCAGTATTTGGGTGTTAAGATGCTTCTTTCTGATGCAAAATACCTTATTTTGCATTTGTTTGGGTGGTTCTTTAGTTATTTAAATAAGCTGGAGCAAGCGTGGCAAAGGGCATGGAGAGAGAGCTTCCCAGGATAGCTGGTATCAGTGATTCAGTAAATAATTGGCATATGAAAAACTGTTCCAGCCTTTCTCAGCACTTGCTGTGCAATCTAAAACACTTCAGTCCAGAGGTGCTATGGGGAAACTTAGTTGGAAGTCTTTGTTTGTTTCTCTTGCTTGTTTTTAACAGTTTTTATGAAATCACATCAAAAAAAATTTCATACTTTGAAGAAAATGTCTATGAAGTTTCTGAATTCTGATACTGTATATTAAACCTCTGATTTCCTCTGTCTCTAAATCAACAGCTTTTTCATTTTAAAAAGTAATCATTTGTCTGAGGTGATTTACCTTTCCCAAACCTGTGTTGACTTCCCCTATTAGATTGTACCTCTGCCACCGTATGCCTAAGCTGTCTATAAATATCAGCTAAAATGGGTCTAATATACATGCTAGCTATGAAATTCTCAGCCTCTCTCCCAGCCTTGCCAGATATTGCCAGCTTCCCTTCAGTAATCACTTCAGACTTCCTAAAAATGCAATATTCAGCTTGAATAGGTAAATCCCACCCAAGCAGGTCTTTGCCTGCCTTAGGATTTGAGTCCACTGAATAATTCCCCCCTCAAGTCCATAACTGCCAGCTGAATCTGCATCTCCTGCCCTCCTTCCCTGTGCCCCCTGTATCTCAGCAGCAGGGGCACAGCCTGAAGAGCCCTGACCTCACTGCACATGTTTGTAAAGGGAGTTGCAGCACCTTAAATGAAAGTCAGCATCAGTCCTTGAAGCAAAAATGATGGAAAAAAGGGGCAGGTCAGTGTTTTCCTACATAAAAGCTGTTTACTTTGAAGTGTTTATAAAAGCCTTTTGTTTTCTGAAATACAAGCAGAGCTTTTTAATAAGCCATGAGGAGGTAGTGGATTTATACCTGTGGATATCTTTCTTACATTACACCAGAAAAATCTGATACATGAATTAAAATCTATGCAAAGCACTACAGTTTTTCATCCTTGTACTGAATCATTCTGTTGTAGCACTGGCAGAAGTAATGAAAAATGCCTGAGTAGCAGCATCCACTGAGTGTCCCTTTTGCCTTTTTTCCTCAAAGCACAGTTCCCCATTCAGGAAGAGAGCTGGAAGCACTCAGAGCACGTTCCTTGGTCCAAATCCCTCGAGAGTCTGTGGGTGTTCCTTCCTGCTGAAGTGGCAGGTGGTGACAAACTCAGGCTTAGTGTCACTGCAAGGATATTCCTTAAATGTCTTCATTTCTCTTCTTTGTTCTCCTTTTCCTCTCAGTCACCACCCCTCACCCCTCCTGCTCCACCTTTACTGTGGAGGCAGATTGGAGGAATCACTGTGATTTTATGGCATAAAAACATCCACGTGCCTTCTTTCTCCAAACTTCTAGGACATCTGTGTAAAGCCATGTCTTGGCCACGTGTGAAATCCATTATTTGTCGATTTATTAACCCCTTTACCTGGGAGCAGGTGCTGTGTGCCAGTCCTTGCCTGGGCACTGGGGGTGCAGGGACAGCCCCCAGGTGCCACCCCCTGTTCTGGTCTGAGCCAGGCCCTTCCTCTCTTCCAGCCCTGACAACATGGGGCTGCTGGACCCGGCCACCAGCGACGGCAGAGTGATCTTCTTCCTGCCCTGGGAGAAGATGACGATCGCCGGGACCACGGACAGCCCCACGGATGTCACCTCCCACCCCATCCCCACGGAGGAGGACATCAACTTCATCCTGAGCGAAGTGCGCAACTACCTGGGCCCAGACGTGGAAGGTAACTCCAGGAGCCCCTCCTGGAAGGGCTGGGGGTGGCATTCCAGCCTGGGGAGGCCAGGCATTCCAGCCTGGGGGAGAACGTGCTGCTGCCTGAAGCTGTGCCTCTTGAGATCTGTCTGTCTGAAACCAGTGGGCTGAGGTGTCAGCATGAGCTGTGCAGTGCTCCAGAGCATCCAGCCCACCAGCAGCCAGCACCACTGCCATTGTCACCACTAAGACGTCTCCCCAGGTGCCACATGCACTTGGTTTTTGACTCCACCGCTGCCCTAGGCAGCCGTCTGCCCTCCAGAGTGAGGGTTTGGTTTGTTTGGTTTGTTCTGCGAGAGCATTTGCACTGCTGCGTTTCTGCTGCAGCATTAAAATAAGTCTGAAAAGTACTCAGGCAGGAACATTGCAACAGATTTAGGTATAGGAAGACCTGCTGTCTGGAGATGGGAAATGCTCAATTCCCGTTTCCTGAAGTGGAGAATTGATGTCTGGATGTTGTATGAAGTTCTGGAAGTGTCCGGGGAAGCTCCTGTTGGCCGTCCGGAGCAGCAGTTGGTGTTGGAAGTGCAGGAGACCAGGGAGGGAGATGGGAATGTGAATAGGACAGAGATTAGATATTGGGGAGAAATTCTCCCCTGGGGAAAATGTGAGGCCCTGGCACGGGGTGCCCAGAGCAGCTGTGGCTGCCCCTGGATCCCTGGCAGTGCCCGAGGCCAGGCTGGACAGAGCTTGGAGCAGCCTGGGACAGTGGGAAGTGTCCCTGCCCTGGCAGGGTGGGATGGGATGAGCTCTAAGGTCTGTCCCAAGCCCGGCTGTTCCCTGATTTCCCACATATTTTCCAGCAGCACATTCGGAAGTGCTCAGCCCCTCTGGCTCAGCCCAGCTGGGCCTGTGCTGGTTTTCCCATGCAATTACTGTTTATAGATGGCTGGAGCTGAAATAACAACGGCACTGCCCATATCACCCCTCGACAGCCCTGCCTCTGCTGCCAGAGCCAGTGCCAGGGTTATCAACTTCCACAGGCTTGGACACCTTCCAGCTGCTTAATTACAGCGTCACGCGTGCTGCTTTCTGTAGTTTCATTAGTTTATAAACCTAATACAGGGTCTTGTGTCTGTGATTAACACTTCATTTTGGCAGGTTGAACACGCTGGCAGAACACATTGATTTCGGAAATCTATTCCGTGTTCTTTGGGGGATGTTTTTTACACCCTTTTAGTGATTTTTCAATTATCGGTCATTTGAAAGTTGTATTAAAAGCATGTTCCAAAGACTTTGGTATAAAGCAAATTGGCAACTGCACTTAGGGTGAAGGCTGTGGATAAAGATGGCTTGTCAAGAGGAAACCTTGGAGTAATAGCCTTCAAGCTAGAGGAAAAGCTTGGAAGATGTGAAAGGAAATGTTACACTCATGTAACAAACTTTATTTTGGTTTATAAAACGTAATGTAAGGATTGTTCAGATTCATTGGGAAGAATTGTCATGGAAAGGGGGGGTCAGGCTGGAGCTGCCCAGGCAGGTTTGGAGTCCCTATCCCTGGAGCTGTCCAGGGAACACCTGGATGTGGCACTCAGTGCTCTGGGCTGGTGACAGGGTGGGCATTGGTACCAGCTGGACTCGATGGCCTGGGAGGGCTTTTCTAACATCAGTGGTTCTGGGATTCCATAGCCCAGCTTCTCCCGTGGCTCAGGGGGCTCTCCCCAGCTCTGGGGGTTGCTCAGGGCCAGGCAGGGCGCGGAGCAGCCCTTGGCAGTGCCCAGTGGGAGCTGGGCAGCCCTGGGCTCGGGCTGGCCGTGCCTCAGAGTGGCTCTGCACAGTGAGAAGAGGAGATGTGCTGGCAGCCTGGAGCGGCATCCGGCCCCTGGTGACCAACCCCGACTCCAAGGACACCCAGTCCCTGTCCCGGAACCACGTGGTGACCATCAGCGACAGCGGCCTCATCACCATTGCAGGTACTGGGGGTTCCTTCATCTGCAGCTCTGCTGGGCTTCCCCAGGGTGTTTCATGCAAAAATCTTGTTCCACGGGAATTCTTCTGCTCCTGTAACCAAACTGCTCTGTCAGTGGCAGCGGGACTGGCTTGGAGCAAGCCTGGCAGCAGTCGTGTGGTATTGGAAAACATAGATGTGTCTGTAGGGTGTAAGAGCTTGTATTCCTGCTGCTTTCCCCAAATAACGAGGTGGGCACTGTTCCCCCAGGTGGGAAGTGGACGACCTACCGTGCCATGGCACGGGACGCCATCGACGCGGCCGTGCGCAAGCACAACCTGCAGGCAGGCTCCTGCAGGACCATGGGGCTGCAGCTGGAGGGGGCCCAGGACTGGAGCCCCACGCTCTACATCAGACTGGTCCAGGACTACGGGCTGGAAAGTGAGGTGAGTCCTGGCTTCCTGCCTTGGAGGGGTTTGGTCGTCCCCTAAATCAGGCACCAACATAACTTGGGCAAAGGTCTGGTGAGCCAAGAGCTGGGGCAGAGGTAGTTCTAACAGAAATAAAGTTAGTAACTGTTCATCATCTTCCCCTCTTTCCTTCCTCCTAATCTTGACTGTTTCCTGCTAAAAACTCTCTGACTTGCTGGGGTCTGTGGTCCCTGGAGCCCCCCAGGCTGTGCAGCAGCATGATCGCCGTGTGGCAGGAGAGCTGGGCTGCCAGGCCTGGTGGCACAGACACGGCGGGGCAGTGCTGGTCCAGCCTCCCACAGCACAGAGCTTCCTCCCACGCTGTCACACTCCAACACCCTTGGCAGCCTGTTTGTTATTGGGGATGAGGGAATGGCAAGGAAAATGTGTCTTTCATGTGCTTTCAAAGCATGCTGGATTTGTTTTCCTCTCCACAGGTGGCTCAGCACCTGGCTTCCACCTATGGGGACAAGGCTTTTGAGGTGGCCAAAATAGCCCAGGTGACAGGGAAGAGGTGGCCTATTGTTGGGAAACGTCTGGTGTCTGAATTTCCTTACATTGAAGCTGAGGTATGTGGGCAAACCGTGTCACCTTCTGTGATTCTGTCCTTGGGATGAGCAGGCCAGTGGCTCTGAAACATCTCCTTGAGCCCTTTCTTTTGGGGAGGCCGAGATATTTTCTGTGCCCGTACCTGGCGCACACTTTATGTTCCAATATATATACATATTAATATATTTACGCCCCTATTTTGTACTTCATGTACAAACGCTGGATCCCGGGTGGGTTCTGTAAAATGTCCCAGGGGAAAGGGGGCTCTGCAGCCGTGCTGTGGGGTGCCAGCCCTGACTGGATCCCAGGTGGGTTCTGTAAAACGTCCCAGGGGAAGGGGGCTCTGCAGCCGTGCTGTGGGGTGCCAGCCCTGCTGTCCCCTGTCCCCAGGTGGTGTACGGGGTGAAGGAGTACGCCCGCACCGCCGTGGACATCATCTCGCGGCGCACCCGCCTGGCCTTCCTCAACGTGCAGGCTGCCGACGAGGCCCTGCCCCGCATCGTGGACATCATGGCCAAGGAGCTCAACTGGTCTGAGCAGAAGAAGAAGGTACAAAGGGCCCTTTTCAGCTCCAGCTGCTTTGTTTTGCTTGAGGAGTTTCCGTGCTAAGGGTCCCGGTTGGTTGAATGGAGAACTACAAGTGATGTTTTATTCCCGGCAGAATGAGTCACTTGGTGCATTTCATTCTAAAGGCTTTATCAAATGCCTGTGAAATGGGTTGGGGTTGGCCAGGGGGTGGCAGGGAAGGGGAAGATCTGCATCCTGTTGCTCCCCAGCCTTAGAAATGAAAGCAGGCTTGGCATTGCTGTCCTATTCCTGACAGTTATTTTGCTTTACTGACACTTTTCAACAGATCTGCCTCAGCAAAGGAAGCTCCTGTAACCATAAAGAACCTGCCTCGTGTTGAGCTCCCTGATTTTTTTCTGATTTTGGACAGCTGAGTGAATCATCACACTAAGATATCGAGTGGGAGAGAAATGACAAGTTGTAGGCTTAGCCTAAAAAGGCCATTTCTTCCTGAAAGGGGCAGACAGAGCGTGTGTGACTGAAGGTGTGGATGCTCCTGAAGGCATTTACAGAAATTAGAAGTCTTTACTAGCATGGCTACCTTTTTGCAACAGTAAAAAGTGCCTAAGTGTAACTTTTTGATACTTCCCAGCTGCCGTCTCCCTTGTTTTGGGACCTTAGAAAAGTACTGGTTAAGTGGAAGACCTAATAGTAAAATATAAAAACTAAATACTTGTGTAAGAACTTGCTATTGCTCAGACACTCAGGTTTTGTGTTTTCATTGTAGGAAGAGCTTGAAACAGCGAAAACATTCCTGTACTATGAAATGGGCTACAAGGTGAAAACAGATCAATTAACAGACAGCTCTGAGATCAGCCTGGTGCCTTCAGACATCGAGAGGTGAGTGGGGCAGGAGGGCTGCCCGTGCTGCTGTGCCCTGCAGCCCTGCAGCCCTGCAGCCCTGCAGCGCGGGCCCTCCCTCGCAGGTACAAGAAGCGGTTCCGCATGTTCGACAAGGACAAGAAGGGCTTCATAACCATCCTGGACGTGCAGCGCGTGCTGCAGGTGAGCTGCCCTGCTCCCACCTGCCTCTGGCAGCAGCCCGAGTCCGTGGGTGAGGCCCAGGCTGCTGAGCCCCCTCCTCCTGTGCTCGTTCGTGCAGAGCATCAGCGTGCAGATGGACGAGAACACCCTCCACGAGATCCTCAACGAGGTGGACCTCAACAAAAACGGGCAGGTGGAGCTCAACGAGTTCCTGCAGGTACGTGCTGCGTCTGCTCCCAGGAAAGGCTGGTTTTTGGACAGCAAAGACACAGCTGGGGAGCTTTTCCCCTTGCTTAGGGCTGGGTTGGAGACCAGGCGAGTGTTCCTGTGGTGGTGGTACAAGGGGCACACAGAGCCATCCTCAAGCAGCTTGGAAATTCAGGGGTCTTTTTTTCCCAGTCAGACTCAAAGAACAGGTCCAATTTACAAAGTATGCCCCAGTCCAGACATGAATTTGGCATTTTAAGCCCAGAAATGCTGTTTAAATGTATTTAAAATGATACAGGTGTCCATTGGAAGGTGGCACAAGTGTGCACACTGATATTATCCACTGCTATTAGGGGTTGTTATAAAAATGAGTAAACTAAGAAACTGAATAATAAACAACTAAATAACCAAATATTTATAATGATAACTAGTAATGTAACTATAATAATAATTAACTAAATAATAAACGGAATATTATAAAGAATGAGCTTGTAGTTAGAGCCCATCCCAGGTCCTATAACCCATTTTAATTCCTGGATTGACTAAATTGCCCCAGTCTCTCTGAAAAAAATGACCTGCATCTGCTTTTTGGGAGGCTTTCAAGCAAACCCAAGGGTGCTCCCTTTGCATATGCAGTTTGTCAGCTGGGTTGGTGTAGGGGGACTCTTTTTTGGGGTGGTATTTCAGAGCCTGCTGTGTCTCCCCTGCCCAGTGGCAATGATGAATGCCAAACAGGAGAGAAATTAATGCTGGGGATTTTGGTCAATGTCAGCCCTTTCTTCACTGTGTCAAGTTAAACAAACAAGATCAAGGCAAAGGAAATGGTAATTGTCTCTCTGGAGATGAGCTGGGGATAAGAGCACCATTGTTGAATCTAAATGCAGAAAATTTTCACAGGTTGTGTCCAGCATTAGCAAAAAGGAGTATTTATTTGCCTAAAATGCAGGAATTGAGCTGAGGGGCTGCACTGAATTTGGGGGAAGGGGAAAAACCAAACCAAACAAGCCAGGGGGGAAGGAGAAGCAGTGGCTTTGGGAGTTTATGCTGATGTGTTCAAATGGGAGAGAACAGCCCAGGTGGGTTCTGGCTGCTGGAAGGGAACACCCTGGTACCTCCACTGGAAGCCTTTCACTGGGGCAGCCCAGCCCTTTCTGCAGGGCTGAGCTAGCTGCAGTTTGCTCAGGTTGGGTACCTTGGTTGGGGAGCTGAAACAACCAACAGTTGTTGTTCTGTGGGGTTTGGGGGCCTTCTGGGGTGTCTTTGCTAGGCTGACCAGTCTCACCAGGGGTGGCCAGCCCTACATCATCTCATAGAAGGCAAAGGCCAGGCAGTGCTTAGGAGTGTTTCAGGGTTGTTTGTGCAAACCTGTGTCGCTCTGTGGCTCCTGCACATCTCCCAGAGCAGCCTGGGTGTGGAGCAGCAGTGATGGGGATGCCTTGAGAAGGGAGCAGAGGCTGGGCAGAGTTCCAGAATAAAGCAGGGATTGATTCAAGGATCTCCTCCATGGATGCACCTTGGGCAGCACAAGAGCCCAGCCAGGGCTGCCCCCAGGATGAACCCAAATGGTCCCAAAATGCACGAGCGCTCCCGGGGTCTCTCCCTGGGATCAGCTCTGCTCCATGTGCACATTGCAGTTCAGTGGCCAATTCCAGCTCAGCCCCTGCACTCCCATCCTGCTTGTTTTTCTCTCTGCAGCCCACGGGGTTTGTGCTCCTGGGCTGAGATTTGGATCATTTGTCCTTGGTGCCCAGCTGGAGCAGGAATTGTTTTGTGTCCCTGCTCTGTGCACAGAGCTCAGCAAGCCTTAATGTGAAGCTCAGAACTGCACACTGAAGCAGCACAGAGTGAAAAACAGAAAAGCTGAACCTGAGGCATCAATGGCACTGCAGGGCTGAGCCCTCTCCTGTGCCTTGCACTGCTCCAGGGAAGCACTCAGTGCTGAGCACGAAGGTGCCACTGAAATGAACTGGGGTTGCCATGGAAGGAGCAAAATACATTAAATGTTTGTTTAATTTTTTAATGGATCTGTTAAGTCAGTGCCCAATACTTGAGTGTTTGCTTTCTGAAAACTTTCAAGTAATTGCGTTTCAGCGCAGAACTTGTGCAAGCCCTGGGCAAATATTTGTGGAGGTTTGTGTTGGAAAATAGAGCAGGTTGTGCCTGGGGGCTGCTGGCCTGCAGCTGGGAGCAGAGCACGGTGCTGAGGGGCCTCAGAGGGCTGGCAGAGAGTGGCCTGGCAGCCCCAGTGCTCGGTGCCCACGGGGTGACAGGGCAGACAGGGCTGCCCGGGGCAGCGTTCCTGCAGAGCCAGCTGCTGCCAGCGGTGCTCCAGGGGGGACAGGGAGCCTTGGAACTGCTGCTGGCATGTAAAGGCAACTGCCCCATGTTCAGTCAGGAGGGATCATGGAATGCCACAGTGGTTTCAGTGGGAAGGGACCTTAAAGCGATCCCATTCCCCCAAAGCCCATCGGCCCAGGCTCTGGTGGCCCAGGAGGGTGACTGGGCAGGAGGCAGTGCCTCTGCTGCTGGGAGATCCCTGTCTGTGCACAGCCCTGGCCTCCTCCCCGTGCCTCTGGAATTGGGAAGGAGGCCAGGGACAAGGCCACGCCACATTTGCACAGGTCCAGCTGCAGGTGTAATGAGCAGCTTTTCCTAAGGGAGGAAGGAATCTGAGGGATTCCTGCAGTCTGTGGGAGTAAGAAATTGCATTTGGCAAGTGCCAATTGCTTCCCCAGCGCTCTCTGCAGAGCTGGCTGCAGGTAATTTCAGCTCTAATGCTGGCTTTATCCATAGGATAAAAAAGAATTAACTAAAATCTTAGCACTAGTGTGCTTGCACTGGCAGAGAGCAGGGTCCAGCTGCCAGGACTTAAAGGCAAATTAGTTTTAAAAGTCTATAAAGAAATTCGGATTTGAAAGAATTGTGGGAGTCAAGTGCAGTGTCTCTCCAGAGAAAGGCATGTGGGTGGAAAGGGCAGGTCTGGGATCAGTGACGGATCAGGAATCATGAAATCCCTGCATGATGTGGGTTGGGAGGGACCCTACAGCTCATCTTCAAGCCAGGGCCAGGGACACGTTCCACTAGATCAGCTTGTTCCAGCCTGGCCTGGGGCACTTCCAGGGATCCAGGGGCAGCCACAGCTTCTCTGGGCGCCCTGATGCCCATCCTCATCGGGAGCAATTTCTTCCTAAACGCTAAGAAATCCTGAATTTTCCGTGAGTTGCATCAATATTACAAATAACCAAAGAAAGCCTGTGCAGCTGCTGGGTTTTCCCACACTGAAATGTCGTGGAGGAGCCCCAGCGGTGCTGGGTGCTGTTTGGTGCCTGCCCTCCTGCAGCTGCCCAGAGCAGCTCTGGCGTTCCTGGGCCGTGAGCGAGCCGGGGCCAGGCCGGGCCCAGCTGGGTTTGTGCTTTGGGGCGCTTTGGGAGTGCGGCTGGCCGTGGCTGTGGCTCTGGCAGCCCCGAGTGACGCCGTGCCCGTGTCCCCAGCTGATGAGCGCCATCCAGAAGGGCCGCGTGTCGGGCAGCAGGCTGGCCGTGCTGATGAAGAGCGCCGAGGAGAACCTGCGGCGCCGCCAGGCCATCCCCGTGGACCGCAGCGGCGGCGGGCTCTGAGCCTGGGGGCAGCTCCCCCTAAGGACTGCGTGTGTGTGTCCCGGCCTTCGTGGCTCCCTTTCTGCTCGGGCCTGGCCGGCCTGTGCGGCCCGAGCCCGGGGGGCAGGCTGCAGGGCTCTGGGGGCACGCTCAGCACGGCCTGCCCCGGCCGCTCACGGCTGCATCGCCTTCTGCTTCGGAGCACAGTGCTCACAGTGAGTCCTGCCCTGGCCATTAACGTCTGCATCTCCTTCAGAGCATGCCATGCTCACAGTGAGTCCTGCCCCGGCCATTCATGTTTGTATCACCTTCAGAGCATGCCATGCTCAGAGTGAGTCCTGCCCTGGCCATTCACATCTGCATCGCCTTCTCCTTCAGAGCATGCCATGCTCAGAGTCCTGCCCCGGCCATTCATGTTTGTATCCCCTTCAGAGCATGCCATGCCACAGTGAGTCCTGCCCCAGCCATTCATGTTTGTATCACCTTCAGAGCATGCCATGCCACAGTGAGTCCTGCCCCGGCCATTCATGTTGGCATCTACTTCACCTTCAGAGCATGCCATGGTCAGAGTCCTGCCCCGGCCATTAATGTTTGTGTCACCTTCAGAGCATGCCATGCTCACAGTCCTGCCCCAGCCATTCATGTTTGTGTCACCTTCTGAGCATGCCATGCTCAGAGTCCTGCCCCAGCCATTCATGTTTGTATCACCTTCAGAGCATGCCATGCTCACAGTGAGTCCTGCCCTGGCCATTAATGTTTGTATCACCTTCAGAGCATGCCATGCTCAGAGTGAGTCCTTCCCTGGCCATTCACGTTTGCATCTCCTTCACCTTCAGAGCATGCCATGCTCACAGTGAGTCCTGCCCCAGCCATTAACGTTTGTATCTCCTTCAGAGCATGCCATGCTCAGAGTGAGTCCTTCCCTGGCCATTCATGTTGGCATCTCCTTCAGAGCATGCCATGCTCAGAGTGAGTCCAGGCCCGGCCATTAATGTTTGTATCACCTTCAGAGCATGCCATGCTCGGAGTGAGTCCTGCCCCAGCCATTCATGTTGGCATCTCCTTCAGAGCATGCCATGCTCACAGTCCTGCCCCAGCCATTCATGTTTGCATCTCCTGAGCATGCCATGCTCAGAGTGAGTCCTGCCCCAGCCATTCACGTTTGCATCTCCGTCACCTTCAGAGCATACCATGCTCAGAGTGAGTCCTGCCCCAGCCATTCACATTTGCATCACCTTCACCTTCGGAGCATGCCATGCTCAGAGTCCTGCCCCAGCCATTCATGAATGTATACCCTTCAGAGCATACCATGCTCAGAGTGAGTCCTGCCCTGGCCATTCCCGTTTGCATCTCCGTCACCTTCAGAGCATCCCATGCTCAGAGTGAGTCCTGCCCTGGCCATTCCCGTTTGCATCTCCGTCACCTTCAGAGCATCCCATGCTCAGAGTGAGTCCTGCCCTGGCCATTAATGTTTGTATCACCTTCAGAGCATACCATGCTCAATGTGAGTCCTACCCTGGCCATTAACATTTGCATCTCCTTCACCTTCGGAGCATGCCATGCTCAGAGTCCTGCCCCAGCCATTAACGTTTGTATCTCCGTCTGAGCAGAGTGCTCAGAGTAAATCCTGCCCTGGCCATTAACGTTTGTATCCCCTTGGAAGCACACCGTGCTCAGAGTGAGTCCTGCCCCAGCCATTCATGTTTGTATCACCTTCAGAGCATGCCATGCTCAGAGTGAGTCCTGCCCCAGCCATTCATGTTTGTATCACCTTTGGAAAACGCTGAGCTCAGAGCGAGTTAAACGCGCTGAGTTCTGCAAACACAAAATCTCTGAGCTGCTTCTGCCTCTTCACCAAGGAGCAGGAGAGGGAAAGCTGTGCCCTGGAGTGGAGATGCCATTCCAAAGGAGGAAACCCAGCACTTCTGGCAGTGGGGGTGGTGGGGAGCTGTCCTGAGGCTGCTGTTGGTGGTAGGTTTGTCCTGTTACTCCAGTGGTGCCAGCACCTGGCCACTCAGAAATTGCAGCTGGAAAACAAGACACCTGGATTAATCACCCGAGGTAATAATGTGGCTGAAAGCTGGGCACAGCTTCCCTTCTCCCCTGTTAACACAAATAAACTGCCTCTAATAAATGGCATTGTCTGCAGGTGGTGCTTTGTGCAGTGAAATAAAGGCAGAAGGTGTTTTATGCTAAAAAGAGCTTCAAGTCTGGGGCAAACCCTGATGCTGGCTAGGATGGGGCAGGGTTTGGTAGCACAACATTCTTAAATGTTAATTTAAAAATGCTCAAACACAGTGAAAAAAACAAAGTGTGTGTCTTGCATCCTACTAACTTTTCCAGAAAAAAAAAGGCTGTTTTTCAGCAGGCTAAATGAACAACCAAAGCATGGAGCCCTCACTGGAGCTGTTTCCAGCACTGCTGTACCTGCCTGTTGTCCTCCTGCTGCTGGGTTGGGCTCAGATCAGCTGGGAGATTGCTGCCTGATGTAGAACAAGGCAGGGAAACCTGGCTTTCTGCTGGATTTGGCATCTGCTCTATTCCCTGAGTACAGCAATTTCCACCTCAAACCAAGCTTCACTTCCCAGGGGTCAGAATTTCTGCTGAAGTAAAATTCGATGTATTTAACTGGTATCACCACGTCCACTGATGGAAAATAACATCCATCAGGGATGCCCAACAGGGCAGGAGTGAACAGCAAGGATTCCTTGGGTGTTTTAACAGGGAAAATGGCTCCAGACACAAATGGAGATGCTGTGGAGTGGTGGGATGTAGCACAGTGAGTGCACATGCTGTCTTTGGCTGCAGAAAACAACATTAAAAACTTAAAAAAAAAAAACTTAAAAAAGCCCTTAAAAAAACACCATTAAACATTGGGGTGTTGAAAAACAAATACAAAATAGATACAAAAGAAAACTCGCCTAAATGAGTTCCTGAAACGGTTCAGGTGGTTTTTGCACGTTCAGTTTGTTTTTGGATGCAGATGTTGTTCAGGTTCTGGCTTTGTGCTTCGAGCAGGGGCTGAGGAAGGGGGAGCTGGCACATGTGACACCACGAGGACGTTCCAGTGAGCAGAGGGGTTTGTTCCTGTGCTCCTGTAGGCTTTTCCTTTTGAGCTGTGTTCCAGAATGTTCAGGTGAAGGATGGAATGTTTGTGTTCCAAACTCACAGTGACAGATCTCACACATCCTGCAGAATGGAGGGAAATGAATGTGTGACACACAGTCATTTTGGCTCAGTGGTGAGGGAAGGGGTTCAGGATTCTGCTGCTAACAAAAGTGCAAGGGGAAATAAAACAAAGTAAAAGTCGTGACATCTTCTCCAGGTCACGTGAAGAAAAAAATATTTCCAATGTCGAACAGGTTTTTTGTAAAGAAAAAACATTTTCACTATTGAACAGCTTTTGTACAGTCTAAAGAGCAATTCCCCACTCCTCTCTAACTGGCATTGTTAAAATAATAACCTGGATTTACCTGGAAAGCAGGATTTCTGTGTTGTAGCCAAAGTATGCTCTTTGTTCTCTTGTTTTGCTAATCTTGCATCTGGAGTGTGGCTGTGGGTTCTCCTGGCTGCTGGACGTGGGTTTGCTTTGTGTCACCTCCTGCTCCCTGCACGGCACAGCCAGGCCTGCAGTGACAGGGACAGCTGACGTGCTCCCCTGCAGTCCATGGAAAACCCTCAGGTGTGACGTGTCCCCTGGTGTGTGCAGAGAGCTGGCTCTGCTCTGTGGGCTTTCTGTGTGCCTGTACTGTGGGAACAGCTCTGTGATGCCACTGCCCTGCTGGGATGGAGAAGCAGCAACGGGACTGTGTGTGTGGAGATTTCTGGTTTTTCTGTGGGATTTGGTGATGTAGATAACCTGCCCCTGTGGGGAGGGGGGTCCATGCAGTGTCTGGGTGTGTACAAATACAGACACACTGTGGTTTCCACGCGGCACTTGGGTCTGTTGTCAGGTTCCTGTTGCAGCCTGGGCTGTTCAATGCTGTGTTTGAAGCTGGGTTGTCGTTTTTAGAACTGTCTTGGTGTTTTCCTGCCATTATTTATTACCTTTGATATCTGGAATGAGCCGCATGCGTTTATTGAGCAATAAGAGGATGTATTTCATGTGCCTTGTTTTTAACTGATTAAGGACTGAAAGCATGAACCAATAAAAGTGGCTGAAAAAGTTCCTTTCTCTGGAAGTTCTTTGTGGCAGGTGCAGAAGTACCTCAGAGTCGCCCCGGGGAAGTTTCTCTGGGAAGGAGCAGGTGGGGATGGGTGGGTTTGGGGGGCAGAACCCGGGTTTCCCACACCTTCCCCTCTGAGCCCAGAACTGGGTGCTCTGCACTGGAGAAGGGAAGTGAGGAGCGAGCGCAGCCCTGGGCACTCCAGCAGGTGACAGTGACAGTGACAGTGACAGTGACAGTGACAGTCCCTGCTCTGCCCTTCAGGCTGGAGTGGCAGCAGCCACCTGGCTTTGACCAATATATGCATTTTCCTGCTGGGTTTTGGCTGCCACCACGGCGAGTTCTGTCCTGCCCCAAAGCAGCAGCAGCAGCAGCAGCAGCAGCAGCAGCAGCAGCAGCAGCGATGGTGCTCCTGCCAGGTGAGCCACGAGCATTCCAGCACAGCACATCCATTTTCCCTGTCAGGGAAGCGCCCTTAGCAGGGTGAGCACAGTCTTCATCATCTCCAGATTATTTCCTGGCTTAATTCACACTTGTAGCAGGGATGTTGCCCAGCTGCCACGGAGCTGTGCTGATGTACAAGCGGCTCCCTCCACGTGGGAATGAGCAGGGGAACCACTGAGATCATGGATTTCCCCCTGATCCACGGCGTGTGAGCGATGAGGCAAAGAATGGCTGCTGTGATCAGCTTTATCCCAAATATTTTGCGGCACGAAAATTGCCTCGTGTCAGGCTTCTGGCTGGGGTCACACGAGGGCCAGGTAAAGGCGGCGGGGTCGGGGGTGTCCCCGGTGCTGAGGTCCCTGTCCCCCCCAGAACAAACCCAGGGCTATGCAGCCCTTCATGTGCTCCCCCGAGTTGTTGCTCCGTTTATTTTGCACAGATCCATTCATTATTTTTGCATCTCTCCAATTAACTGATTTGCAATTCATTCCTATGCAAGCGGAGCCGTTCCTGTCCAAGTCGAGGAGCTGTAAATCTTGAATCTATTGAGCTGACAGGGGAATATATTTCATTTTTCCCCATGAATCATTTGCCATCCTTATTGCAGAAAAATGGCAAAATTATGGTGTACTGTGTTTTCATAAATTACTGCTTTTCTCTCCCACCCTGCACTCCTCTAATTTGTAATTTCCTGGGAGGAAGAGGAGTGTGGGAGCCCGGAGCAGCCAGGTGAGCAGGGCTCGTTTCTCCCCTATGGTCTGAAAAGCTGTCTCACCTCTTTTAAATTGTGTGTGGAACAACTAATAAAGCTTTCATATGAACTTAAAAACTGATTATTGCTACTGAAGTTCTTTTGGCTTGGTGTTAAGAGATTCTCCAGTTAAACTGTTGTAGGAAGGAGGGAGCAGTGAGCAGGGATACTTTAGTGGGATTTTTTCCCCCCCTTCATTTAGATTTCTGCTCTCTTGCATCAAAATCTTGTGAACTGCAGAAAGGTCAGGATTTTTCTGGTTTAGGAATGTAAAAAAAAATTCCTCATCCAGAACCCTACGGCTGGCAGAACAACTCTTAAACGCTTGCCCATAATATTTATTTTGAAATCTCAGAAATACATATGCATTTTCCACTTGAGGCTGGGCTGGGTGGCCGGTTCTGATTGGTGACTCATTGCATCAGCAAAGGAGATGGTTTATCCCCCATCTCCTCTTGGAGCCAAGTTCTTCCTGGTTAAAAAAAATAATAAAAAGTACAGAAATGTTCATCACAGTAAGCTGTTAAATTGTTTTCAAAATTGGCCATTTTTTAAATGGAGCTTATCCAGCTCTGGCAGTACTTCAGGTTGCACTGAACCATTAAATAAAAACCGGAGACAAAACGCCTTTGAAAAGGGTTAATTAGTTTTAATATTGATTTATTCCATATAGGGCAGTAATAGACTAGAACACT